AACAAATCCACAGCGACTCATGTATAAGAGAGAGTTTTATGTAAAGAAAAGGTGCATCATGAAAACATCCCAACCCAATGCTGCCCAAGCCCACAAGTCCAACATTATTAACCCATTAACCCAACACCAGTCCACAAAGTCCTCCACCTCACAAAACAGAGGCAATGATGCCGACTGCAGGAGGAAAGCTGAGTCAGTGAACGTGTAAGCATCTCAGCACTGGCAGGGGTCTCCACACGGCTGCTCCAGCACCCAGGGCTGCATTGGGATAGGTCCATGTGGCTTCTCCTTGGGGATGTCTTGTAGGAAGTCAATCTTGCAAGCTGAAGCAGGGAACTGCTAAGGCAACTGCACCCAGTGCAACCATCACAAAACAAGAGACCTGAGAACTAGAAAGGCGAGGCTCACTACCCATTTATCCTTGCACCTTTCAATTAACCCCACATGTGATTATCGGTTAGGCTGGCACAATTAACTAACTCAAAGGTGAAAAGAAATAAGAGACAAAAATGTGAAGAATGTTGTGCTAGTAGACTGTAAAAGCCACACTGGCTCCATGCACATCTCCAAGTGTATGTAGTTTGAGCACTCTCAGCGCACTGAAGACCTGTGGGAACACCCAGCCTCCCCCAGAGCAGCTCCTGGTTCAGAGAGGTCTGGGCCCATTAGCTTCTTCCCACCCCTCATATTCCAGCTTGGTTCTAACTCTGTCCCTGCAGAATTGCCTCATCTGCTCCCAAATCATTTGGGTACTGGTGTTTCTGTTACCCGGCAAATCCATGTACCAGAGACCAATTCAGATCCTATGATCAGAAGATACCACTTGCTCCTAATTGCCAGCAAGGGTGCCCAGTGTTACCTCACAGAAAACAAGAAGCCCCAGAATCCCTTATGGAAGATAGAGCTTGGCACATTTTCTTTCTTTTCGAATAATATTTTTGCTGACATAGCTTACTCATTCCAATCTATCCCTTCTCTTTCCATACAGTTTTGTTCTTCAATTCCATCACATGGTTCTATACAATCATCAATGCACCAACTCCTCTCTCCCTGCTTTCTTCCTCCTCACCCCGCCTCACTTCCCAGACCCTCAGGTAACCCTTACACCTGTCAGTGTCTGTGATGCGTTCTCTATCTTGACTACCATGGACCGAGGAATATAAATGCACAAATGAACATACACAAATCTAACATGACCAATGAGGTATATCACACATGGACCATAATAGTAAGGGGAGGAAATATTAAAAAACTCGAGGGTAGTCATGTGCTTCATTAGTACCACACCACACCCTGAATTTATCCTCCATTCCATGAGGCCCTTCTAAGAGGGACTGTCCAATTGTCTTACTGGTGGACTTCCTTTGGGTCTCCACTACATCCAGTCCCCTTCATAGCAATTTGGATGTGTTTGTTTGTTTTTTATAACTTCTGATACCTCTTCTCATCAACACTTCATGATCACACAGCCTGGTGTGCTTTCCATGTGGGCTTTGTTGCTTCTCTGCTAGATGGCCAATTATTGAACTACATGCCTTTAAGACCCCAGACACTATAGCTTTTGATAGCGGGGCACCATCAGCTTTCTTCACCACATTGCTCATTCACCCATTTTGTCTTCAACGATTGGGTCAGGGAGGTGGGTATCATACAGTGCTGCATTATTAGAACAAACTATTCTTGTACAGAGGTAGGATTTAAGTAGAGGATCAAAGTCCATCTGCTTCCTTGTTGCATTTACATATATAAACAAATATACACATATTCATATATATTTATATATACAAGCACACATATCTACATATTGGGTTTTGTTTTTTCCTCATACCCCACTATTATGCTTGCCTGTTGTTCACCTCTCAGTGATTCCTCTCAGATACAATTCAGGTTCTCTCTGGTCACAGTGAATTTTTTCATAAAAGCAGTTTATCTTGAATCTCATTTTTTGTGATGACCCATTTCAGAGAGTAGGATGTGGCTGTGAAATTTTGTTTCCTGCTTGAGAAAAATGCCACAGAAACGGTTGTAATCTTGAACACAGCTTACAAGGACAGCGCTATGGGAAAAACTTGTGTACTCATTACAAAAAAGGTGAAATGTTGATTGATGGCAAACCTCATTCTGGACATCTGCCAACTTCCCAAATGCATGAAAATGTTGACTCACAGTGCATTTGGAATTTGTTCCAGCATGTCAGACTGTTAATCTAGCTTTCTATTTAGAGGCTCTGAAAAGATTGTGTAAAGGTGTGTGACACAAAGGCCTGATTTGTGGCAGACAGGGGACTGGTTTTGCCCCCACAACAATGCACCTGCTCACGCTGCCATCTCAATGCACCAGTGTTTGGCAAAAAACAGTATGCCTCTCTTACCCCACGCATCTGACTCACCTGATCTCTCTCTGTAAGACTTCTTTTTGTTTCCAAGAATTCAGAGGGGCATGAAAGGACAGCGATTTGACAATGTAGAAGTGTAAAGTTCAAAGGTTTTTATTTTACTTGCATCCACAATCAGCATGCTGGGACACAGCAGTCAAGAATCAAATGCTTTGAGCAAAGCTGCTGCAAAAGGCACTTAAAAAATGTTAAAAAGCAAAGTTGTCACTTTGAGGACTAAGGTGTGTCTGGCCCAAGCCATCTTATTGTCAATTGCTTCATATGTATGCCAAGCCACAGAAAAGGAAGATCAGAAAATAATCGATGCATTTGAATTGGGGGTATTGGTGGAGAGAATTGAAAGTGCCATAGAATGCCTGAACAGAAAATAAGGGCGGTGCTCCGCATCGCGATGTTGTCGTCAGGCGCCCTTGAGTTAGCTGTGAAACAGTCACTAATCCTGCACCACCCGCACAATTGGTGTTATACTTCAGCCCATTATTACAGCTACTGTGTCAATGCATCTTGTCAAGAGTCTTCACGATTATAGTTCCATTTGGATTCCAAATGGAGGCAGAAACCAAATGAATCCTGAGATTCACTCATAATGTGTGAAGATTTTTTTTATGTGAATGTTAGCAGACACCAGGAAACATTAACCATAGAAAAGGAACAGCCAAGTAGACAAAACGGTCGGGCCAGTTGTCCTAAGCAAACCCTCAAACTGACACCATGGGAAGCTGAACAATTGGCCACAAAGGCAGAGATGGCGGATGTGCGTGGGCTCAGCAGCATGGACTCCCACACACTTAGGCAGATTAACTGCTGTGGCCCCTGAAACTCCATTCTGTGAGCAACCAAGGTCAATGCCAAGTTCTTCGTACGACACCTTCCCAAAGAAGTGATTCTCAAGGAATTATTTTCCTTATTTTTGAAGATCAGTGTGTATCCAACATATACAGAGACATACTCAATATTTTTTTGAAAGAATGGAATAATTTTAGTACCTTCAGTGCTAAGTCATTTCCTGTCTTCAGGAAATACCTATTGCACTCATACCTATTGCACTATTGGGTGGTCATAACCAAAACCGTACTGTTATCACCTTAATGTAGAAATAAATTATAATGTTAAAGTGGATAATCCAAGGAGAGCAAATGAAGAAACAAACTCTTAAATTGGACCATACCAGAGGCATTAAATGAGTATGCAAAGTAGTTGAGCCTCATACCAGGTATATAATACTAGTTGCTCTCAAATGTTGGTTGAATAATTATTAGAAAATCTTTGACTTTGATAAGTGCCTTTTACAGATCTGGGAGCTTGAAAGTGTAACATTGCTGTGTGACTTATTATAAGTTATTTTATCTCACATTTTGTCTTATGAAGCAGATGTTATCATTTCCTAACTCTTTGTTAGCAGATGGCCGTCACGCATTATCCAGCATCAACCTGATGTCCTCAGAGCTGAGGGTATGTAGAGGCTGTGTTGGCCTGGAGCTTAATCTTTGGGATCTCCTGTCCTCTAGCTTGTGCTATTCACTCCTACATCCTGATTACTTACAGGATATCAGTGGTTAGAGGAGCATGACAATCAAATTCCAGAAGAACAAAAGGGGGGCAGGGAGGGCTTACTAAAAAGATATTTGGTGCCCTCATGACAAAGGTGACATTCTAAGCTTGGGGGAAATTGAGCTGTCGCCTGGAAAAACACTCATAACAAGTGTGTGAGTGCGTGTGTGTTTGTGTGTTTGTGTGTGAGAGAGAGAGAGTGAGAGAGACATCTTTTCCTCCTCTCTTTATGTCTACCCCAGAGTCTTGCTTATTTACCAGTATGATTTAAAATGCCTACTTTAGCGCTGGATAGAGTTTTAATTTCAATGTAAAATGCCATCTATGATGTCTCCCTGTCTTTTAGTTCAAGTGATTTTTAAAGGGGAACAGGAAACCATCTCTAACAGTCAGTAGTGGTTACACTATTGGGGCTGCTAATCCTAAGGTCTGCAGTTCAAAACCACCAGCCTCTCCTTGGGAAAAAGAAGGGGCTTTCTACTCCCATAAAACCATTACGGTCTCAGCAATGCACCAGGGAGCAGTCTACCCTGTCTTTGACTCAATGGCAATGAGTGGAAAGTCAATAAATCATCTCCCCCGACCCATGCTTTTTTTTCCCTCTCACACTTGGTCAGAGAATGAGGAAGAAAGTCATGAAGCATGGGAGTTCTGTAGCGTAACCACATTTGCGTAGATCTGCAACACCTGCTATCTGTGTGGCAGTTCCTAGTGAGAGAATTAGAAACAACATGGTCGTTTCTAGAATTGAATCTACACTAGAGGTGGAACGATTTATCTAGTCCTGCTAAAACACCCCACTATGCCTTTATGTTAATCCTGAATTATTCAGACTGAAGAGAGCTTTTCAACTTCCAATGGTACCAGGGGGAAAAGACTGGACTTGAACTTCCCATGACTCCCCGCCACCACGACTCCTGCTGACTGTTCTCAGGGTGTTTCCCTTCTAGAATTGTGAGAAAAGGGGTTCCAAAACTACTTCAGGGAACCCTGCGAGGCACAGCTCTGAGATGAGTTTTTTCTCTTTTTAAAGAATCAACTTTTCTCACACAGTATGGTTGAGCAGCTGCAAGGCACATGGAAATCCACGTCTTGTGAACATTTTGAAGACTACATGAAGGAACTAGGTGAGCCCTGCTTCCTTGCACAACACCTTCCGTGAACAGGAATGCTGACCGCCCAGAATTTGCTCTGTTTGATTAGTTTTGAACTCCCTGATTTGTCTTCTCAGAAGCAACACATATTGATCCAGAATATATGATGAATACTATTGTATGCAGGCCTTGATTGGAATGGAAAGAATGCTTGCTTTCAAGTAATTTACCACAGACTTACATAGATAGAACATTCAGGTACTAAACAGCAAATTATCTTAACGCAAGATTTAAACCCAAAGACACAATTTAATTTTAGAAAAGATGATTTTGCAAGTATCCACTCTGAGTGCTTTGAGGATCTTCAGAGTAGATGTTATTTCCCAGCTTCTGGTGGCTTTTCTTGGTTTGTGGCTGCAGCATCCCAATCTCTGCTCTTACTGCCATACCAGCCCATGTAGACAGTCCCAGGTAATCTCCTCATTTCAAATCCTTCTCCATAGTCTGCTTCTCAAACTCACTTTTGCCCTCATAGTCACATCGGTCCCAAGGAATAGCACGTGAGCATTTTCAGTTGCCATTTTTCAAACTATAACATTTCGTGATCATGTTTCACAGCACTGAGAGCAAATGCAATTTGTTCTGTTGGGTTTTGGATTTGTTTGGTACTCATAATTGCTATTGTTTGTAATCGGGATGTTTATTCTGTGTTTGTATCACTGTTACACTTTGGAAACAGATAACTTGTAGTCTGGATTTCACAGATTCAGAGGTGAAAAGAAATTTGGACCCAGGATCTCAAGTTTCACACCTATCCTTAATTTACTTGATTCAAAAAATGAGACTTTTGAATTTTAGAATTGGTCTAAGATTTTTGGAGGTGATCTGATAGGGTAAATGGTTAGCACATGGGAAGCACATGAATTTGGGGGGTGGAATAGTCAATTTGTGGATTAGTTGTCCCCAAAACACATGTGTTATGAGTCCTTTCTCCTAAACATGTGGATGTAGTCATATCTAGGAACAGGGTTTTTATTGTTAGTGCGGCAGGTCAGTGTAGGATGTGTCTTAAGACAATCACTTCTGAGATATAAATTAAGATGTATGTAAGAATGAGGAATTTTTTTCTGAAAAAGCTATAACATAATTTTGCAACAACAGCAACAGAAATATATGTGGATACATGTGTTTTTTATGTATATGTGGTAGTTATATACTCTGTCAACTTGAGGAAGGGGTGGAGTCTGGCCTGTCATTTGGAGGTGCTAAGGAGATAAATAGCTTGCTGGAGGTGGGACAAACCCTCACTCCCTGAGAGACATTCCTGTGGACAAGACCATTGGAGCTATGCCAGTTCTCTGGAGCTGGAGGAGCCACGTGGAGACCCCTGCCAGCACTGAGATGCTTCCACTGCCACAGGATCCACAAGACATTCCACCCACTGGCCTGTGATCTTCCTGTATTTGGCATTATTGCGTGTGTTTTATGAAGAGGAATTTATAGATTGGTATTGGACATATGGATTAATATCGGACTTACAAACTTGATCTGGACTGGGCTGGGATGTTTTCTCAATATACAATTGCTCTCTCGTATAAACTTTTTTTTCTTACACACATATGAGCATCTATGAATTTTTTTCCTCTAGTCTCCCTGGACTAACACATTATATATATATATGTATAAGCCCACTACCATAGAGTCAGTTCTGATGCATAGCAGACCATATAGTGTTTCTCTGGCTATGAATCTTTTTAAGAACAGGTGGCCTCAGCTTTCTCCCTCAGAGTGGCTGGTGGGTTTGAACCGCAGTCCTCGCTGCTCCTTGAAGTAGGTCGGTCTATGTATGTGTGTACACACATACATACATACATACACATACATATATGTGTGTACATGTATAACCCACTGCCATTTAATTATAATTCTACAGGACAGAGTAGAACTGTGTCCTTGGTTTTCCAGACTGTAAATCTTTACAGTCAGTCTGATCCTTCTACAGAGAAGCTGCTTGGATCTAAATCTTGACCTTGTAGTTAACAGTCCTGTCGCGCCACGCACTAATTCACCGGGGCTCCTTGTGTGCCATATAGTGATATCTGTATTAATATGTACAAATGTATGTGAGTGGCTGCATAGATCTTCACATATGTAAAAAAGCACATATGGGAAAAGTTACAGATATTTCTTAGACAGAGCCAAATACATCTCAGTGACTACTTAGTTTGAAGATTTAGAGCCAGAGTCTTATAGAAAAAAATCGGTCAATTGCCGTAATATAGTACATAAAGTTCGGTGAGTGGTATCTGGGGTATTAAAAGCTTGCAAGTGACCATTTAAGATACAACTCATCTGGAGCAAAATAGAAAGAAAGAAACCAAAGACTCAAAGAAGAAATAAATCTACAGGAATAATAACCTACATGTGCTCTGGCCTTAATTACCCAAGACCAGAAGAACTACATGGTTGCCAGCACCACTACCAACTGTCTGATCGAGGCCACAATAGATGGATCACTGTGGAATGGGATAAACATTCTTCGACCAGAACTCAATCTTTTTAAAATTCCAGACATCCTGAACCACTTGAGAGTACAGGACCCCAAGACCATTGCTCTGAGATACATCGTTCAGTCTTTAAACAGAGGTCCGTTCAATAACAAATTGGCTTATGATATAAAAAAGACCACCTGTGAGTAGTGTGTCTTTAAAAAGTCATCTATTGATGAAGGCAGCAAAGGTACAAATGCGCTCAACACAATGGATGTCTGTAAGGATTGTGATAAGGGTTGTATGAGCCCCCAATGAAATGATTTTAAAATAATAATAATAAATTTTTAAAAAGCCATCTATTTGAGACCAAACCATCAGCATTTACTCTAAAGGAAACATGATACGGTGGGCGTGGGGAGCAGGGCTGCTGTATTACTGGAAATGGACCAACCAAAATGGATATAATGAGAACATTGAACATTTGTAAACAAACGTAACCAATGTTGCTGAATGATTCGCATAGAATTTGTTGAATTTTTGGTGTAAACTTCCACAGAAAACACAATGAAAACATTTTTTTTTTGGTAAAGGTAGCTCAGGCACAAAGGAAGACAGACTACTGCCACATGCTGGTTCATTGATGGACCAAGGGATGGAAGCTGGAAGAGAAAAGCACCTTCTCCCAGATCCTACGCGGACAGATAGCCTTCCTCTACAGCCATGAGGACAGATAGCCTTCCTCTACAGCCATCACCCCGTAGTCAGAAATCTGGCTTCCCTAATCACAAGAGAATATATTCATGTTTGTAGCATTTCTGTTAGAGTAACACGGTGAAACAACTACAGCGTGTCTAGTCTTGATTCCACAGAGAAGAAAACCAACTGAAATGTATGCGTGTATATATGCCATTGTTCAGTGCCCTTGCGTCAGTTCTGACTCCTAGCAGCTCTGTGTACAAAACAGCACCCAGTCCTGCAACAGCTTCACAATTATTCTTATGTTTGAGCACATTGTTGCAGCCACTGTGTCAATCCATCTTGCTGAGAGTCTTCCTCTTGGTTTGCTGCCCATCTATTTTATGAAGCACGCTGTTTTTTCCCAGGGACTGGTCTCGCCTGATATTGTCCAAAGGGCATGGAATGAAGGTTTGTTATCCTTACTTCTAACGAGCATTCTGGTTGTACTTCTTCCAGGAAAGACTTGTTTGTTCTTTCAGTAGTTCGTGGTACTTTCAGTATTCTTCACCAGCACATAATTGTATGAGTGGGCTTCAAAAAGTTCACAGAAAAATGAACTTAAAAGATACTGGATTTCCCCACACAGACTTTTTAAAGGCCCCTATATTTCCATGAATCACAGTAAAGTGTTTCCTCAATTTATCTCTTCTGGGAGGTTTGACGAGGGAATTGCTGTGTATGTAATGCTATTTCTGCAGAAAATATTCTTACGTGTACTTCACAAAAGATGTGTGTCAGTCAGAGTAGACCAGAGAAACAAATTCATTGACACTCTTGTGTGTGAGACCTTTACATATAAGAGCAATAGGATTTTGAGAAAACATCCCAGCCCAGTCCAGATCAAGTCCATAAGTCTGGTATTCATCCATATGTCCAATACCAATCTATAAATTCCTCTTCAGACTCATGCAATGCATGTAATGGCACTGAATGCAGGAAGATCACAGGCCAGTGGGTGGAAGGTCTTGTGCATCTAGTGGTAGTGGTAGCATCTTAGCACTGGCAGGTGGCTCCACATGGCTTCTTCAGCTCCAGGGCTCTAGCATAGCTCCATGTGTCTTGTCCACAGCAATGTCTTGCAGGGAGTGAGCATGCATTCTGCCTCCGGGGAGCTTTTTATCTCCTTAGCGCCTCCAAAAGAGGTCATGTCAAGCTGCAACCTGATTGACAGGCTAAACTCCACCCCTTCATTCTTAATACTCTCAATTTGACAGCAGATTATGTAACTACCACAATGTGTGTGCAAAGATATTCATGAAGGCATACTTTGTAATAAAAATAGACTCAGTGCTTACCAATAGTAGGGAAGATAAATAAATTGGGGGTATGTATCTTCTTTGGAAATTTGGGCATGTATAATCTATGGCTTTTGATCTTTCTGGTACGTCTCCAAAACATACAGATAAGAGGACAAAACAAATGAGTATTATAAATATAAAATCCCATTACTGTTGGGTCAATTACAACTCTTTAGGTCAGAGTAGACCTGCCCACAAGGTTCCCAAGGCTGTCAGCTTCATGGAAACAGACTGCCACTTCTCTCTTCTGCACAGTGAGTGGTGGGTTCAAGCTCACAGCCTTGCAGATAGAAGCTGAGCATTTAACCACGGCACCACCAGGGTTCCTGAACACAAGTGCATATATAATCAATGATGTAATAAAATATAACTCTGTCCTTTAAACCATAGACATGTAGATACATGGCATTCAAAGACATCAAGATCTGGAAAAGTTCTGTCACACTTGCATTTGCTTGCCTATGAATGGGTATGTTTTTAAAATAAAGGATGAGTCTTAGCTTTGATTTGTTTCCCAAGAAGTCCAGGATCCAACGGGTTTAGTAACTATGGGACCAGAGAAACATGATATAACAACTGTTAGACAAAAACCAGTGGGACCACTTGCTTTAGATATTTTAATTCTTGGAGCATTCAAATTTATTAATTTACAAATCTTCTGGTTACCAAAGAATTACATGACTCATGGGAAGACTTGTAGCCAACAACAGATTTAACTATTGTGTCTTCTTATCTGATTTTTCAGGAATAGGAAGAGTAAGCAGGAGACTGGGCTGTTTGGCAAAGCCTACTGTGACTATCAGCACAAATGGAGACATTATCACTATAAAAACCAAGAGCATTTTTACAAACAATGAGATTTCCTTTAAACTGGGAGAAGCGTTTGAGGAAGCCACACCAGATGGCCATAAAACTAAGGCAAGGCTGGCAATCTTTCAGACAGCTTTTATAAGAAAAAAAAAAAGAATGTTAGTTGGAAATCATTCTAAATAAGAAAGCGTGTTACTGTAGTAAGTATATTCAAAGTTCTTGTTAGATACATTTTGGATAAAACTGGTTGTTGTTAGCTGCCGTTAGGTGTGCTACAACTCATATCCACCTGATGTACACAGAAGCTCCTGCTCCCGCTTCACAATTGTTCTGTGTTTTTGTCCATTGGGGCAGCCATTGTGCCAATCCGGTTTGTTAAGACCTCTTTTTTTCTGTCGCCTCTGTGTTGCTAAGCATGCTGTTCTTCTCCATGGAGTGGTCTCGTCTGATAACAATATGTCCAAAGTACACGAGACAACATCTCACCATCCTTGTTTCTAAGGAGCATTCTGACTGTACTTCTGCCAAGACAGATTTATTTGTTCTTTTGGCAACCCATGGTACTTTCAATATTCTTCACCAGCATCATAACTCAAATGCATGGATTCTAAATATTACAGCCTAGGAAACTATTGATCAGTTCTGCTCTGTACTATAGAGTTACTATGAATCTGAATTTTAAAAAAGCATTTAAGCACTCCACCACGATCACCTCAGCTGAATTTGGTGTTTTCTATCTTTCGCAGAGTACAATAACCTTAGACAATGACTCCTTGATGCAGACGCAGGACTGGAATGGCAAGGAGATCACAATAACGAGAAAGTTGGTGGATGGGAAAATGGTGGTGGTGAGTGAGCTCTGCCTGCTTTCTTGGTTTATCTTCGTTGTTCAGTGTCATCGCGTCGGTTCTGATTCGTAGCAAACTTACGCACAACAGCATGAAACGCTGCCTGGTCCGGTACCATCTCCACAATGGTTCTTATGTTTGAGCCTGTTGTTGTCAAAGGACTTCCTCTTATTTGCTGCCTCTCTATTTGACCAAACATGATGACCTTCTCCAAGGACTTATCTCTCCAGCTCACATGCCCAAAGTACATGAGGTAAAGTCTCGCCATCCTTATCTCTAAGGAGCATTCTGGCTGTACTTCTTCCAAGATAAATTTGCTTGTTCCTTTGGCAGTCCATTGGTACTTTCAGTAGTCTTCACCAGAACTGTAATTCAAATGCGTTAATTCTTCTTCAGTCTTCCTTAATCAATGTCCAACTTTCATGTACATATAAGGTGACTAAAAATTCCCAGATTTCCGTCAGGCTCACCTTAATCTTCAAAGTAATAACCCTCCTTTTTATCACCCGATAGAGGTCTTGTGCAGCAGACACACCTAATGCATCTTTTGTTCTCTTGACTGCTGCTGCCATGGCCGTTGATTGTGGAGCCAAACAAGACAAAATTATTGACAACGTCAATCTTTTCTCCATTTATTATGATGTTATCTATTGGTGCAGTTGTGATAAAAGTATTTCAACCTTCTTTACACTGAGTCTTAGTCCATACTGAATGCTATAATTATTGATCTTCATCAGCAAGTGCTTCAAGTCTTCTTCACTTTTAGCAAGAAAGGTTGTGTCATATGCGTATCACAGGTTGTGATTAAGCCTTCCTCCAATCCTGATGCTGCATTAATCTCCATATAATCCAGCTTCTTTGATTATTTGCATATCAGATAGATTGAATAACTAAGATGAGGGGATATACCTTTGCTGATAAGCATGCAGTATGATCTTATTCTGTTTGCACACTGGCTCTTTTTCCATGTACAGGTTTCACATGAACACAATGAAGTGTCTGGTATTTCCATTCTTCTAAAGGCCAGTGAGTTTATTACGGTCCACGCATTTGGGTGCCTTTGCATAATCAATAAAACACAAGCAACCATCTTCTTGGTATTTTCTCCTTTGAGCCAAGATTTATCTTATTTCAGTAATTATATCTCTTTTTCCACATCCTCTTCTAAATCTGTCCTGAACCTTTGTCAGCTGACTTTCAATGTACTGTTTCAACAATTGTTGGATGATCTTCAGAAAAATTTTACTTCTAGGATATTGTTCTATAATTCGAGCCTTGTGCAGAGTTCCTTTACACTGGGTACAGATATGGATCTCTTCCAGTCAGTTGGCCAAGTAGCTGTCTCTCAAAATTCTTGGCATAGATGAGTGAGTGCTTCCAGTACTCCATCATCTTGATGAAATATTTCCATTGGTAGTCCCTCAATTCCCAGAGCCTAGTTTTTGGCTAATGCCTTCTGTGTGGCTTGGACTTCTTATACTGCTTCTTGAATGTCCACGAGTTCTTTTGATACAGTGACTCTGCATATTCTTTCTATCTTCTTTTGATGCTTCCTGAATCATTCAATATTTTGCCCATACTTTATTTCAATAGTGCAACTCAAAACTTGAATTCTTCATTTAGTTCTTTCATTTTAAGATACACTAAGCGTGTTCTTCGTTTTCAGTTTTCTAACTCCAGAGATATTTGCACAGTTCATTATAAATTTTTACTTTTCCTTCTTAAGCTGACCTTTGAAATTTTCTGTTCAGCTTTGCTACCATATGGTTAAAAGCAAGTTTCAGGGTCTCTTCTGACATCTACTTGGACCTTTTCTTTCTTTCCTGTTTTTTTTAAGTGACCTTTTGCTTTTTTCCAAGAATGATGTCCTTGATGTTCTTCGGCAGCTCATCGGGTCTTTTGTCATTAGTGTTGAATTTATCAAATCTTCTCTTGAGATGTTCTCCACATTTGGGCGGGATAACCTCAAGGCCATATTTTGCCTCTTGAGAACTTGCTTCAATTTTCTTCAGCTTTAGCCTGAATTTACATATGGACAGTTAATGGGTTTTTGTGCAGTTGGCCCTGGGCCAGGTTTTGGCAGTTGATATTGAGTTCCTCTATTGTCTGTTTACACAGATGTCGTCAATTTGATTTCTGTGTATTCTAGCTGGAGAAGTCCACAGTTATACTGACTGGAGTTCCTTGTATGCTGATAGATATTTTCCTATTAAAGACAGCATTGTACTTCAAGATAGATCTTGAAATGTCCTTTTTGATAATTAATGGGATGCCAATCCTCTTGACTGTGAGCAATCGCCAAGCGTTTTCTGACCACCATTTATCTGTTAGTTCGTCATACTGTGGGGCTTGTGTGTTGCTGTGATTATGGAGTGTAGGCCATTGCTATGTAAAATGCCAGGCAGTTCCCCCCAAGTGAGCAGTTTTAGCAAAGCTTCCCAACTAAAAACAACAATGAAGGAAAAATCAGCTGCCATGTCATAAGAAGTAGCCACTAAAACCTTATGCATAACTTTGAAACATTGTCAGATAATGAAAGCCTAATGAATGGAAGCAGAACTTTGTCAGAGAGAGGACCAGAGTACGGGCTCCTTAGATTGGAAGGCATTCAGCATATGACTAAGAAGGAGCTGTTTTCTAGGAGTGGAGTTGACCATAGTGAGATGAATGGAGCAATAACTATGGGAATGAAGACTTCAGTAACTTCATTTGCTAATGGGGCATACACACCCAAAGTTAAGGAGAAAGAGCTGCAAAATCTACTAATGTTTAGGACTTGGAATGCATGAAGTATGAATGAAGCAAAATTAGAAATTTCAAAAAATGAAATGGATATCTTAGGCATTAGTGGACTGAAAGGTGCTCAAGTGTGGATCATAATTAAACTATAGAGAACCTTTAGAAGAATGGGAATTCTAGAACACTTAATTGTGTTCATGTGAAACCTGGATCAAGGGGCAGCTGTGCAAACAGAACAAGGGCATGTACTGCATGGTCTAAAGTTAGGAAAGGTGTGTGTCGAGGCTGTATCCTCTCAACCTATTTATTCAATCTGGGTGCTGAGAAAATCATTGAGGTGCTGGGCTATATGGAGAAGAACATGAATCAGGATGGTGGCTGTTATTTGGTGCCATCAAGTTGGTTCCAACTCATAGTGACCCTAAGCACAACAGAAGGAAACACAGCCCAGGTCTGCACCATCCTCACAATTGTCTTTATGCTTTAGCCCATTGTTGCGAACACTATGTCCATCCATCTTGTCAAGTCTCCTTCTTTTTTGCTGCCTGTGTTAGACAGGGTTCTCTAGAGAGTTAAAACCAGATTGCTGATAATTATACATATATATATTTATAAAGATAGATATATATAACACAAGAAATGAACAGTTAAATTATAAAGCAGTACAAATGGCTCAGTGCAACTCACTCCCGTGAGAGAGTTGTGAGACACTAGCAGTCTTTCAAATCTTGAAGGCCGTCCGTCCGGTAGTCCTCTGTAGAGAGAGAGCTAGGCTATCCCGGCACAGGCAGCAAAACAGCCAGGCAGGTCACCAACTGTCAGCCAAGTCACCAACTGTCAGTCCCCAGCTCCAGAGATGTAAATTTCAATCCTGTGGTCTTAAAGGGACCTCAACTTACAGCGACACAGTCCACAGGCAGGTGTCCCACAGGTAGTGTAGCCTGCAAATTGAGGCACAGAACAAGCAAGGCAGCCGCACACTGGTCTGATGATCAAAGAGCAAGCGACAAGAAAGGCGAGGATCACTGAGCCATTTATCTCTCCGCCCTTCAATTAATTCCACTTGTGCTTATCGGCCAGGCTGGCACAATGAACTATCTCACTCCCCTTCTGCATTACCAAGCATGATGCCTTCTCCAGGTCTCTTTTGACAATATGTTTAATGTGTGTGAGATGAAATTTCACCATTCTTGCCTCTAACGAGCATTCTGGCTATATATTCAAGACTGATTTTAGGGTTTTGGCAGTGCATGATACTTTCTTTATTATTATTATTATTAAATACTTTTATTGGAGGCTCTTACCACAATCCATACATGCATCCAGTGTGTCAAGCACATTTGCACATGTGTGCCCATCATCATTTCAAAGCATTCTCTTCCCCCTTGAGCCCTTGATATCAGCTCCCCATTTCTCCCCCTCCCTCCCTTGCCCACCATCCCTCACGAACCCTTGATAAATTATAGCTTATTAATTTCTTTTTTTTCCTTTGTGTTCTTTTGATTTTTAAAAAATAGTTTTATTAGGGGCTCATACAACTCATCACAATCCATACATACATCAAGTGTGTAAAGCACAGTTGTACATTCATTGCCCTCATCATTCTAAAAGCATTTGCTCTCCACTTAAGCCCCTGGTATCAGGTCCTCATTTTTCCTCCTCCCTCCCCGCTCCCCACTCCCTCATGAGCCCTTGATAATTTATAAATTATTATTTTGTGCTATCTTGCCCTGTCTGATGTCTCCTTTCACCCACTTCTCTTTTGTCCGCCCCCAGGGAGGAGGTCACATGTAGATCCTTGTAACCGGTTCCCTCTTTCAAACCCCCTCTCCCTCTACGCTCCCAGTATCGCCACTCACACCACTGGTCCTGAAGGGATCATCTACCCTGGATTCCCTGTGTTTCCCTTTCCTTTCTGTACCAGTGTACATCCTCTGGTCTAGCCAGACTTGCAAGGTAGAATTCGG